GTAGGGAGAGCAGGAGATGGGTGGATGGACAGACAATGAAGGAAGAAGCGATGACAGGGGAATGAGAAAGCAAAAACCCCGTACCATCCAGACTTGTGAACCTCTATGAACCTCAAAAATATCGATGTTGTTCTCAACTCTCACGGGACGGACAGGCAGACGTCTTGTCTCACAGTGGAATCAGCCAAGGTTTAAGCAGGAATATCGATACCACAAGGATCTACCAGGTATTGATACGACAAATATCTACCAGGTATCAATACATAAACCATACAACGTACACGATCAGAGGACACCAACAACAAAACAAAAACAAACAAAAACAAAAAAACAACTTCTTTGACGTTAACAGCAAGGTGATACGACATTTTAAATTAAATATTTATGTCTGTATGTGTGTGTATGAGTGTGTGTGTGTTTGTTTGTATGTGTGTCAGTGTATGTGTGTCTCTGAGTTTGTGGGGTTGAGTGGGCGTTTCTATGTGTGTCTGTGTATGTGTGTGTCTCTGAGTTTGTGGGGTTGAGTGGGCGTTTCTATGTATGTCTGTGTATGTGTTTCTATGTGTGTCTGTGTATGTATTAAGTGTTTCTATGAGTGTAATTATGTACACAAAAAAACGATCGAACTTAATACAGCGTTTTGACGGTGACCGTTATCAGAATTGATCAACGTAGTACCATGACCTATTTGGAAAACGACTTACTGAAGAAGCAAACAAGACACCGACCCACATCCTTTCTACAGCATGTTCAGCACAGCACACACACATCAACATTATAATAAGAGCACTATACTACATTCATGTATGTTTTCAAACCCGATAAGGCTAAACAGGATGAGAGACCATCGAGCTGACGTCCGACTCCGATAGCACAATATATTGTAAATGTGTGTGCAGTTTAGAAAAGAGAAGCACATCGACTAGATAGAGATCTTTTAGTGCAAGTAAAAATTAAAGCGTACACACACACAAAAAGGGAGAGAAAAGAAGTTGAATTTATAATAATATATGTGACACCTTCCAACCACCCGCCTTGTTGGTGAAGAGGTACGGGGAAGCTACAGTGACAAGACAATCTCAATAACATCCAGCTGGAAATTCCAACTCGAGTTACTCACTCAGCGGGAGAGATTATAACTATGTGTCATCTTTGTTATAAAAATGTAAAAAACAACGACAACAACAACAACAAAGAACACCAAGGGATATCCATGGAACGTACATATTAGCAGATACACACAAAGGCACCTACGAATGCCTACGATAACGCGGCCATGCTCAACAAACACACACACACACACACACACACACAGACACACACGCACGCACACACACACACACACACACACACACACACACACAACTAATCACACATGTACACACATACAAATATACATATGCACACACAACTTATCACACA